CTCACAATTCACCCTTCAGTCTTCACGCCAGCCCCCTCCCCCGGTCATCCCACTACATCTTCTTGAAAGTCTCGCTGTATTCCCAACCCCCTCCCCGCTCTCGCCGATGGGCACCAAACTGAGACTGGCAAGGATCCTGGCAGAGGGGAGGGGGGTACCGAACAGACCTTTGTACGGAAAAATAACTCCTACCTAAGCCTCTGGGAGAGGGGTAGGAGCGGGAGTGAGGACGAGGAGAGAAGGAGAGAGGGGAAAGTCCAGAGCTATTCAAGCTTTATATAACAGATTTTTATTCCAATTCAGAGCAAAGAATGGCACACGTTAGTAGACCAGCGCAATCATCTGACCCCGCTGTAAACTGCAAAGTTGCCAGTTTATTGCTCTCATAACTTCTAAGATATAAAATTAGCCTAAATCTGAACTTATAACTGAGATAAAACTGTCAGATAAAAGTGAGAAGTAAAATTTATTCTGTGCCTTGCTCCACAAAATGAATTTTTCAATACTGTCAATTTCAAGATTCCTTGATTCGCAAAATTACAAAATAATTTTGAGTTTCAGAGCTTAAAATCACAGGATAGGAGGAGAAATGAGCTGACTCCAGCTTCACGGCTTAACATAAGATTGAACAATATGCTCCCAAAATTTCTACTCCTTTGATTTCGGGGATCTGAATTTGAATTTTAAGTACCAAAGTAAGTAATCAGTGATTGCGTTTTGATGCTCTTTTGATTTTATGAATAAACAAGCGTAAATCACAAAGAATGTCATCAAACTATCGTTCAAAGTGATACGAATGCCAAAAAAAAAAAACTCATCACACTTCCCAAATTCTGAGAAAAATGGCATATTAATAGAAAATTACCCGCAACGTTTGCACTTGAAATGATATGGATGAAAACTATCGCCTCGATACTTGATGTGGCCTCCTTCCTCGATGATACCTTTACACTTGTGACACACATAATGGCCACGGCCGGCTTCTTTCTCAAGTTCATTGCATTCACGGCACAGAGCTCTGAAATTAAACTTTATAAATCAGTACAATTACTGATGCAGCACAGGAAATGACAATGCCAAAGTGGTCCAATGGCGAAGAGTGAAAAAATATCAAATGGACAAAACCCCTTGTTGAATGGT